AAACTCATGTGTGCGCTATAAAGGAAAAGTCACTATAATTGTAAAATAATGTGATGAAAAGCGTCAATGTGAAGTATTCAAGCTATTTGATTTGTATTACTTTATAAACCAGCATGATTAACAAGTCAATTTAGATTGAATACATATCCTAATTAAGTCAGCTTCATGTTTATTAATGAACTATTAGAGGTGATCATTGATTAAATTGCAAAATAAGATATTCTACTTGATATACAAAGAAATTTACAGAAAATGGAATTAAGCATAACTTTGACACTAAACACCTTGAGGATACAGCAAATCAGATTAATGTCTCAGAAACTTCATGAATAATAAATGATGAAAAGGATATCAAAATTAAATTGTTGCTTAGGAATTACTTCTATGATAGATTTACTTTGGAATCAATGTATCCTACAAAAAATCTGTAGTCATTGGCTGAAATTTTCCGTTACTTAATTTTTGCTGTATTTTAAAATTTCCTGTCATCTATTTTTAAAATAAACAAGACGTTCATCATAGCTTATATCGAATCAATTATTATATCATATTTGGATTTAATCGGAATCTACTGCAGATGTCGTGAACACCCAAACATCCTTTATTCATAGTTGTCATTTGATATAACTTGAATAATAAATAAGAAACCTTCGTTGTTTTTAAAATGCCTTATTTTACAATAGAAGGCTGTCTCTACCATTTACAATTTAAAAAATATTCGTTGTAGGACATATTATTTGAATGGTTCTTGTATGCTCTACGTTTTACAAAGAAAATAGTTTGAGAATTTTATTAAAATAAACATTTTAACAAAATAGGTTTCTACCGATTCTTTTTATCACCTATTGGCTCTGTTGGAGAGAATCACGGAAACCAAGTTGCACTGAACAAGTGTTACATTCTAACTTGAAGATTCCTCAATAAAGTACAATATTACCCAATAAGATATTGAACCAAGAATCTTTAGATCCCGTAACCAGCATGATATTTTTCGGGTGAATAGTGAAATATATTTAGATTACATTAGAGTAAATGTTCAACGGCCGTTTCAAGCCACATAAAGATTAAAAGTAGCAAACGTTTTTAATGGGAGAACAGAATAAATGAAATGACACATGTTAACAGCAATACAAATTCCCTCTATTTTGATTAAAATCCTTTGTATTACACATTTACAGTGACTTGTAACAATAAACAGTGAATTAATGATGACAAATATATAATACACTAACAACATTTTTGAGTTTTTCAAAACATTAAACAAACATTTGAAAATCAATAGATTTTACTTATTAGATTCTCTTTCCGTATGTGTCCGCCCTTGTCACTTTGAACTTATAATCATACACACATTTATATAATCCATATATGGATAAATTTTAATATAGTCCCTATCATTCTAGTTCTAAAACGAGAATGGCAAGTTCACTTGATTTGTAAACTGAGTATGAATAAAAGATAAAATCCATAAAAAACATCATGTAATTCCATAAGGCAATACCAAAAGGTGCTAGATATATTTATCAGTAATTTGACATTAAAAAACGATCTATTGTAGTGAACAGAACACGAGTGGGGACAATCGAATGTATTTGACACGAAATTACAGAACTTGTTAATAAAATCTAACAATCATAAATTAAATACGTAATTTGCAAAATGTCCATCAGTTGTCTCATAAAGACTCAGACTTCATTGTTCTTGCAGTTTCATACAAATTGCATTCTGTTCCCATTCTTTACTGTTCGATCGTTTTGTCTCTCTGCTGCCAGACATTTTGTTCCTGACTAACATCATAAAATACTTATGTCGATGTAAGTAGCACACACCACACTATCATGTTCCAACAGCTAAATAAAGTTCACATGCAGATATTGCTAGAAACGTTTACTACCGTATAAAACATTATGCTGAAAGCAATTCCGTTCATTGAAATTTAAACGATTTCAGAGTTTTGTTAGTTAGACTAATCTAGGTCTTTCCAAATAATTACTTAAATTCTGATGGCTGAGATTATTTTGATTACGCTTTTTTACAAAAAGTCTACTGTATATTCGATTTCCAACTCTTATTGAATCTTTTTTTAATTTGACGAATTTTCAGAAAAATTACACTAGCTTGTAATATTCCTGTAAATTGTTATGCTCGTTTCCTAATATCTAGATTAGTCGGTCGTACCAATCTTTACCACTCGATGCCCAACATAAAATATTTCCAGTTAAAGAAATTCGAACAAAATGATTAGCCTTTCATTATTGTCATTATAATTAATACTATTATTATTGCTATTACTATTAATTGTGATCTAAGGTCACCATCCAGATTTTAATTGTATAACAAACGAAGGAACGATCAAACATAAGATGAAACAAACACAAATACTTAACAGACTTTGAGGTCAACATAAGAATTTAAATAAAACAGACATTAGTTTCTGCACTTAAACGTTCCACAAAACTCGAAAAAATACTTATCTGGTGGAATGCATGCATTAAAACTATTATAAATTGATAAATCTGTGGCTTTTGTAGCACAAACTCGTTTATACTCTTATTTTACACTTTGATTCAGAAGTTAGCGGAAGCAAGGCGTTTCTAGTTCTGTTATATAATACTGAATGCAAAATTTAGACTATGATTGTTCGTAGGAGTTTTAAATTTCTCTTGATGACATTTAAGACTGAAATGTGATCAGGTTTTTATCGTCAAATAATGAGCTTAGGCAAATAACCCAATATCACCGCGGAATTTTGTTATAGTGTATTTTGGATTGTAGCCAGCACTAAAGTTCAGGGCCTGCTGGGACCCTTATTCGAAGGCTCGTCAAATAGTTGCAACGGCGTCTCAGTGTTGATGTTCACACTTAGATCTTATCTCATATCCATTACTTAAAACCCTTTTATGTGACTTACTAAACTACTGAATCTAAGTAGCCACCAACTTGTTCATATGGTGTGACAGTTATTTGTGTTGTTTCGCCAGCCTCAATCTATAATATCCCAAATATTGTGATATAAAAATAATATTTTGTATGCGTAAAATGATCTAGAAAAAGTCACTGACGTACCAATGCTATAACTAGCTCTTTTTAATCAAATATGAACTTAAGTTCTTACTGTAAAATTTCGGAAGAAAATATTAGCATGTAAGACGTAATTATTAGGTTGATATTTCAGCATACTGAATTCGTTTTGCACTCTTTACTGCAATGTTGTATCGAGCAGGTTGCAAGCACCAAGTAACAAAATACAGTACAAAAACCTTTTAAATGAAGGTTTGTTATAAGGTTTTAACGGTCACACCATTTTTTTAACTGATTTACAAATTATTTTGGTTTTATATGCTAATTCAACATGTCTTCAAAAACCACACAAGGTTTTTGAGTGAAAATGTCACGAAAGTTTAAGCAAAATTTAATTCACTATCAAATAATGGATTAGACATTTTTCTCATCCAGGTAATTAATTATGTAATGATGTCTTTTTACTTAGAAATCTATCCAACTTTCCAGTCAAGAGCATAATTCTGTTGAAGTCATGTGAACTAAAATATCTATTACTTAAAATCTTGACAGTCAAATAAAAAGTAATATCTATAGTTGTTAAAGATGTCCTAATCGTAAATATTTCTGTAAAGTACAGTTAAAGCGGATTCTTGTGACTTTGAGAACAGCTAGAGCTCCGTATAAATTTTAATTGGCTATATGAACTCAATCCAAAATTTACTAATATATACTTGGAAGCTTTTATGTATTTCTCAATCTTTAGTTATACATGAAATCACGACTTTTGGGACGCCTTGTTATTTGATTAATATTTTTGGAGTAAACCACAAAATAAATAAATGTGCTTCTTCCTGGCTTTTGGTCCAGTTTTTTATTTAAAGACTAGTGATTCTTGCTAGTTAATAAAATTTAGTCTGTTACAGTATTGGACTAGCGGTAAAGTGGTTTAAGACGATGTATCATAGCCATAAGCTTAAAGCTGTTCACCTATTATTCATAAGTAATATTTCTGTCTTCAAAAAGTAACTAAATGTCACCTGAAACGTTTATACATTCCAGAAAGCAAATAACCTGAATTAAGTGGGAGAGTTACTTTGTTTTGTTTGTTTCTACTAGTTAGGTCAGCAGATCTTCAAGTTACTTAATGCTATTCAAAAGCAGTTTTAGTTTCAGCAGCAAACATCAAAATATTTACTGACTATATGAAGACAGATTCATGAAACCTAACACTTCTAAGTTCATTAACGTGTAGAATTACTCATGAAAAACACATTCTTCTAGGTCAACTTCTACATCGCATATCGATTAGTCAGAATTAATATAGTAATCCTGCCCCTCATACTATCACACAAAGTTGAAGATAATTCACAAGCGTAAAACAGGAAATCTCATCTGTCAGAAAATAACTAAAAAGCATTAAAAAATTTTTACTGACTATAATAAACATGTCACAAAAATAAAGATTTTCCTCAGTCTCCAGCAACTAATTTTACGAAAATAGCAATGTCTTGTATATGCAGAACTAAAATAATGAGGCTTTTTTATTCACAGAGTGTTCATATGGATTAGCTTACTTCCTCTTTCGTTAGATCTGATTAATGTTTACGCCTAGGACACATTCAACTATATCTAACTTTATAATGGTCATTACATGGAAAATTCCAGAATGTCTTCAGCCTAATCCCTCTCAAATAAGATGAGTAAACTTGTCTAAATATTGAACAGTAACTTATTTTACCTTAATTTATCGCTTATTTATTACTAATGTTATTCTGAATTTGGATTTTTAAAGAATGGACAATACAATAACCACAAAGGCTAACAACTGGCGAATCATAGTACAAGATATTGAGAAAAAACGTCTATTACAACTAAAACGATGCAAACAGCTTCAAAATAACCTAAACGTGAATGAATTAAAACCCTAAGCTGACGCAAAATAGTATAACAACGTGAAAATTTTGACAAAACAAAAAATGATAAAAAAAGGTGCTTACATCGATTTGCTCCTGTTTAGCTGGGCAGGACTTTAGCTTTTCCTAGGCAAAACAATTTAGAACAAAACATATATATTCAGTCACCTTCAAAGTTTGCACTTTCTCATCATTTGTCTTAAGATCACTTATTTCATCCAAGTCGATATCACAATCGTAGTCATCGACCTGCAAGACCGGGTATATCAAAAATTTCACACTGACCTCTGTGCAATAAAGAGTACGAAGATGTTCGAAAACAAAGTTTTCAAGACGAATTTTTTCGCTAATTTTTTGACGAGTCCTTCTATCGTACTTCGCAGTTAAATAACGTTTACGTTTTGAATGATCTGCAGGTGCATCAGCGGCAAAAACCACCTCCCGGTTTTCGCTTTTTTCAGAAAACCCATCACTGCTTTCCCCCACTTCCTTGCCTAAATTCATTACTTCAATCCATTTACATAGGTATATCGATAACACAAAGCAATTACGAAAGGTTTGAGAGCCTGTGTAAAACGTTTTGGAATAATAAAACACAAATCAATGTACAACAAATTCATAAAGAACTGGGGCAGTCATTTTGTATTGTTGCGCACAGTCTAGGCTTTCAAAAAGTTGAGATAGATTATATCATGCTTCCTTTGTTCTCTTTTATCACTTAATCGACTAGTTATTTTATAAGATGCATTCGCGAACATCTTAATGATGAGTTTGTTTGAAACATATGCTTCCGCTGTGTTCGCTTCTCGGTGATAGGTTTAATTATTATACATTCAAAACAAATAGCTAAGTATCAAAGGACCTCTGACAATGCGAAGTCACTTTCACATAACATCTAATCACATTTAAAGCGAAATAATTAAACATGGATAAAGATCAGTTAGGAAGAATAGGACTGCACACCTTATTGAAAAATAGGTGAAGCACCAAGTAGTCACTGAAACATAATTGTCGTTGCTATAACAGCTTCATCGAAGATTGACGAAAATTATGTAATTTCTCTTTTCTGTCTTGTTGAGATTAATAGATTTGCATGGCCACACCTTCGAACTCACAGATCTGTCGGTCATTGAGATGTATTTTACTCACAACAAGCTCTCACATTACTAACGTTGCTACATATTGTTTTTTCACAGCTCTTCCAACTATATAAGTGCTAACACTAAAAGTTTAGTCGCGGATATTCATCCAAAGGATACATAGAATCCGGCATTAACCTAACACCGATCTCTCACAGCAATTATCTTATAAGAAGATACAAAGAACTTTTAAATATTCACTGAAGGATGTGCGGTAATTTATACAATCCGACAGTTTAGGTAAGCTATCGGGAATTTCGTCAGAGTTTCTGATGAAGTTTCAAAGACATGTTTATGTTCGGTTTGCTAGATACAATTCATACTTCACCTACAAACTATATGAATAACCACAATAACTTAGATTGTTAGTTTATTAATATCTGAAAGGCAGTCCAAGTAAATACATACTTCATAAGCGAATGAATCAGAATATGTCAAAATAATATTATACTTTACTGCGTATATATAGTTACTCTTGGTCCCTTGCTCTGTTTTTGCCATTTTTCTTGTTATAGATTGATGAATGTTGCAAAAGATTGGATTGGAGTTGTAGTACTACTGGCCTTACTAATTGATGGTCTTTGTATTCCAGCAAACCACAGCCTAGGATGTTTGGGACACTACAAGTTAGATGCTATCCTCAATCATACTGGTCTCATGAGTTTAACTGAAGTTTTAGAAGTTCCTAAATATCTAGATGTGATAATAATAATATATTTCTGCATGAACAGGCACACGCCACTTTTACAGGCATGATCTATAAATTACAGCATTTGTTGGGACACAGCATGCTTCCCAACTTATTAAGTTTATAGCTGTTATAAAGTAAACTCGTAGAGCGCTTGCCGTAAACCATGACCTTGAGGAGACGCGTACGTCAGGTTTGTCCCAGACGTTAGAATTTCCATAGCTGTGCCCTCAGACCAAGATTCTCAAGAGAAAAAAGCGAAACAGAAGTGCAGCAAGGCACTTGGATATGAACGCCAAACGTTGCTCAACATTTTGTAGTATAACAGACAGAGGTATAATAAATTAGACTAAATGCATATATAATCTCTTATTAGAGTGAAACGAAGTCACAGGTTAAGATAAGAGAATGTAGTAATAAAGAACAATGAGTTGTGACGTTTAACAAATTGGAGAAACTAAATGTTGGTACAGGGAAAGTTGTTTATTAGAAGGGAGTGTGTATATAGAGGGTGAAGTGTTAAGAACACTAATGACTATATCTTTTACTGTCTGATTTTTTCTTTCCTATTTTGTCCATCTGAAGCCAGCCACACAATCCTAGTGTAAAAGTCCGAGTTAGCATGTTATAGGTTGTCTTAGTAAAATAGCTAGTCCAGCATAAAATTGGAAACACGAATCTGAGTGGTGAGCGTAGGAAAACAATCTATATCACAGATTGATTGCTCTGGTTGTAGTTTTTATTCACCATGTTTTACTGCGTTACACTGTACGTTCATATGCCATGTCATGGTAAGTTTAACCACATCACTGGTTGTTTTCGTCAGTGTATAATGTTATTGAAGAAGGGTTTGTTGTGTTGTAAATTATATTCTTATGAGTAACTGACTGTTGTATTTAGCCTCGAAACAATATCCTTTGTCTCCTGTTAGGTAATTTTGACTGGCCTATAGTTCGTGGTTTTGGTTTATCGGCTGAACTATGTATATTTAACTACTTTGAGTGACATGTCTGTGCAAATAAAACAATAATTATGACACTTGCTCAGTTTAGTATTCTTGGATGTCGTATAATTCAGTTTAGTCTATAGAATTATAACATACTTAAGTATAACGCTTGAAGCCTGTAACGAAACAGATCAGTTTAGTAAGTAGACTTGCCTGTCTTTAATGAGTATACTGATTCAAATCAGTCCGATTAAAAATAGGAGAAAGGTGCCTTTGAAGCTATTGCTGTCATACATGATAAGATAGCGATAAGTGTGTTTAGTGTTTATTTGTAGACTGTACATCTATCACTGACCATATTTCAAGACCACTGCCATTAAACGATTCCCCCAGCGTTAACATTGGTAGCAGGATAGCTAAGTGTCTGTGCTTTTAGTTGCCTACAAAACAGTAGTATACAATCCTAGAAGAGGAGTGTCCTGTGTCGTAATTAAATGCATCTTACTGTGGATAAATGTTAAGAACTGATAGTTGGGAGTACATCCACGTAAGTTTGAGATCTTCTATAGACCGTGACCTCATATTCATGTGAAACATCTGAAGCATTATTGATGGCGCAGGGTAGTTACCCGTTCCATATGTGTTTTCGGTGGCATATCTTGAGATGGCTAAAAAAGAGGGTAACAAAAGGATGGACGACAAGCAAAGCATACAATGTACATGCATATTGAAATTGAGTCATTTGCAGTGAAATAGTGAAAGTATAACTAATATGCCTGATTTTCTATTAATAAGGTACTTTTCGGCTCAGGCTGTTCTTGTTCGCCCATATATGCAGCGCTTCCGCTGTCAATCTTTCTTCATGGTGTTAAAACCTTTCTGAAGTATTTTGGTCCCTTTGAAATTAATCTTATGCCCTGTTTCTAACGCATGTAACGCTATCGCTGACTTATTTTCAAGTTTCGTTAAATCGACCGTGGATTTTGGAACATTTTTCAAGCATTGTTTGTGTTCCTTCAATCTTACATTTAATTGCCTGGATGTTTCTCCAACATAGGTAGCATTACAGTCATGACAGTGAATCTCATACACAATGTTCTGTTGTTCTTCCTTTGCTAACTTATCCTTAACTTTCACCAATGTCGATTTTAATGTGTTATTTGCTCTAAAATACACTCTTATATCATGTTTGTTTAGAATCCGTTTGATTTCTTCTGATGTTTCACTACGGTAAGGTATGACTACGGTTCACTTCCATTCTATTCATATACTTTCTAGTTTAGGTTTTATTTCATTTTTAATAATCTTTTTTAAACACCTTTTTGGGTAGTTGTTATCCCTAAGAGTAGAAAATACTTTATTTAATTAGGTTCTTTGGTCTTCCTTGTCTGCAACAATCTTAGTACTTCTGTTCATTAGATTTTTCACTACATTAATTTTCGTGCTGTGTGAATGGGCTGAATTAAAATCCAAGTATCTCTCGGAATATGTTGATTTTCTGTAAAAATTTATTCCTAACTTCTTACTATTGTGTCGACGTTCAACCAAACATTCTAGAAATGCTAGTTTGTGGTCAACTGATTCTAATTCCTTAGTTAGTTTAGTGTTTTCAGAAACGCTGTTTGCATTGTTAAATAGTTCTTCCATACCATCCCGTTTATTGATAATAAAAATATCGTCTACATACCTTAACCATAACTTTGGTGGACATAAACTCTTTGTGATTGCACTAGTTTCTAGGGAATGCATGAATAAATTCGCTACAATCGGAGAAACTGGTGAGCCCATTGCTATACCCTCTTTCTGTCTGTAAAGTTGACCCCGAAATATGAATAAGGTAGATATTAAACATAATTCTAAGCATTTTATAAACTCTGATGGATTTAATCGGCATCGTTAATTCAAATCTAAATCAGGTTCTAAACAATCATTGATTATATCCATTGCTCGACCGATAGGTACATTAGTGAATAAGGAAGATACATCAAAACTTGCCATTATTTCGTCTTCTTCTATATCGATGGTATCAAGAATTTAATCCCTTACACATACACACATACCTGAACACTCACACACATACGATTTGTTACTCAGTTAATTATTTCTATGTAGTTGAATTCTTCACATGATTTGTAGTTAACTGACTCATTTGATCCTATTTTACAAAAACTCAACATCCAAATGTGTTTGTTAAAAGCTATATATGTCTTTGATAATTTTGATTTTGAGTATTACCCTGAAGAAGTCCAGACAAGTTAGCTGGACAAAACGTTGGAATTAGTTATATTTCAATCGCTGAGAATATTTCAAATATAATTTTCACATATAATGACTTCTCTATACTCGGCGCTCAATTACTGTCAAACTATCCGTTCTAATCTTGACGAATATTCGTATAAATTATTACCACTGGTTCGTGACATCCCACGTGATCATAAGGAGCCATAATTTAAAATATGTTCTGCACCACAGACATGGGCGGATTGAAGTTATTTCCTCACCATCATGTTTGCTGTTCAACTCCGCCTGTAGCTCTTATAGGGTTGCTGCCGGTCCCAAGCCCGGGTAAAGGAGGAGGGTTGGGGATGGGGTTAGCGTCCTCATCCCGTAGAAAACTAACTCGCTAAAAAAACGCTTACCAGAAAAAATAATCCAAACCATTTTAACTCTGCCCTGGGAGTTGGAAGGTCTTCATTTAGAAGAATTATGACGCTTCATGGTGAAAGCCGAG